AATTTAATTTTTAAAATTTAGAACTTGCACGATCCTTGATTGAAACAATCCCCAATTGTAGGGCATCAACACCCTTAGGCACTCACAACCCATGATGGGTTTCCTTTCTAGTTAAAAACATATTGTACTATTTTTATGTTAGACCAGCAATTTGTGGAATAAATTATGTTGTCCATTAGTGGGTCGTTTCGCGCAATTGCATTTTCCATTTCCATTGTCTAAACAAGATTGATACTTGTGATGCGAATGGGTCGTTGCAGCGAAATCAAATGAATTTCATTTACATAACAAATCCAATTAAATGCAACAAAATTAAATGGTGCGCAATGTTGGATATATAAAAATCAGCAGCAAATATCCCCCCCTAGTGTCCACCACACCCGCCTGCTATGCGGACAGTCAATTTAACAAAACACGAAATAGGGACCAAAAAATAGAACATAATTACATTGTGAAGCAGATATTTAATGAAATTAAAATGTTGCATTTGTCGTTTGCACAATTGTTCTTGTCGGTGGAAACTCTGTTTGTTCCACAAAATGAGTGAATAAATAAATATACATTTATTTTGGGGGTATACTCGCACGCCGATGCGGCGGCGACACATTTGTGAATTTAATTTGCTGACTCAAATGCGAAATGCGAAATGCGCAACGTGCAACGTGCAGCGCGAAATGTGAAATGCGGCAAATGGAATAAAATGCACAGAACAGACACAAAATTTGTGGCTTGAGTATGCAACACAAAAAACAAACATTTAAACGCGTCTGAATTTATGAGCCATGCACACAAAATGCATTTAAATGTGACCAGCGCCTCCTGCTACAAACTACACGGACAGGCTGCTGCTGCTGCTGTTGCTGTTGCTGCTATGCCCCAGACCCCCAGGGGCAGCATCAGCGTCCACACCAAACAAATGACCGCACCAAATGCCAAGCCCAATGCAACATGCAAGTGAAGCAAACACCAACGTGTCCCTGGGCCCTGGGCTTGGCCCTGACTCTGCCTCTAGAGTGGCTCTCTCTCGCCACGGGTTGGCGCATAATTTCTCATTTCTGCTCACATAATGAGGCAATTTATTAAATTCAATTATTTTGTTGACATTGCCTGGTGCTGTACGTGCCACCATGAGGCATTATCTGGGCACTACTAGTATATAATATTTTATATATTCATGGCCAAGGGCATTGTAGACCTTTAAAGCCTTTTGAAGCATTCTTTATGCAGAAAATGTTGTCACATATAAATGATAAGTACTATCGATAATTTTTTTATTATTCCAAAAGTCTTGTTAAGTTCCTGCTTAAAAGTCCTAGTAATTTAAATGCCATAAATCCACACAAAAACCCCCCACTAGCAGTCACCAGCACTGCCCAAAAGGTATCCTTCCAAAAAATCTAATCAGCAATTAAATAAAACAAATAAAATATTGTTAGATGAACCATCTACCAGTCAGCCAGGCACTGCGCTGTAATAGTTATTCTACCAAATTTTTTAGCCAACAGATTTATGAGCCGCCTGATAAACTTGCGTCGCGACGCTGCGAACTGCATGTGGTGCTTGCGGCAAATATGAAGAGTAATTGCCGCTCATTAGATGGCTAGAGGATTATCCATGCCACGTCGTTATCCGTGCTTGAGACGAAAATACGAAAAAAAAAAAATTCAGAAGAGAAAACTTTGCCAGAGCACAAGCTAAATTTAATAATTAAGCGCATGCTGAGTGTGAAATATTTTAGACCCCAAAAATTAAAACTGCAATTAGAAATTGTGCCAAAAACGTTTGAAGGATTATAAGAAATCCTATCTAATGTCCTACCAAAATTGTATGTTGCATGTTTTGCTAATTAAATGCCTCATACACAAGGGGCGGGGGTTTGGGATTAGAAAAAAGTTTCATGGCAAACATTTTTGTGTGGCCAAAACTTTCTCTGTTGTCGCCAGCTGCTAAAAATATCAATAAAGAAACTAATATGTCAAAAAAACTATGGAACAGCAGCAGCAGCAGCTGTTAGAACCCATGTCCTTTACTCGCACAGTAGGGTCCAGTCGGTTACTGCGCTGTGGTGTCCTTTCTGTCCTGCGATTAGCACATCAAGCGTTTATTAATAGTATGACAAAAAAAAAAAAACGAGACGATCCGTTAGAAACTTTTTCGGTCATTATTGGGCGATATAAGAAACGCAAAAGGTATAAAGACAAAAGTTTACAAAAGTTTCCGCTTTTAATTACAGTTTTTTTCTTAAGGTTCTTCTTGTCACCCTTTAGGGCGAAAAGTTGAAGGATAATGGGGTTGCTCTGTGGGCAGGTTGCAGCATACATAGAACGATCATAAAGGGAGATGAAATGTGGCAGCAAAATTACCTTTAACCAGGCATACTGGCATATCTGTAAGAAACAAAAAAAAAAATGTGTTTTAAATGCGTGTCTATCCAAGCATTTTCAAGAAAGAAAAATACATAATTATATAGATAAATAGGTACAGAAATAAGTAATATTAAAGAGGCTAGTAAGTACAGCAATAGGTCTTTAAGGAAGTAAGCCTTTTCATTTCAAAATTAAGCTTCTATATACCTGAGGATTTCCTCTTAAATTCCCAAGTCAAACATTTATCAAGCACAATCGCTGGATGAACTCTCCACCTGTCACCGATATGGCAGATATTCGTTATTGCGCGTACCAATAGATAATATAGACGGCCTGTCAGTTACTAACTGACACGCCCCATCACTGGCCTCATTGATTAGTGGTTTGGGTGTGGGTTTGGGTTTGGCATTCAATTGGATTGGGGCCTCGCCTCAGATGGGTCGTCGTCGCAATTTGGGCTCTCAATACGAATACGTACAACATATAGACAGAAGGCGTCAATGCCAGACAGCCAACGTAACTAAACGTTCAACGGGCTACGTGACTCTCGGGCAATGTCCAGGCTTTGAACTCAGTGTGAAAATATCGCATGCGATAAGTTTTGATTACAGAAAATGTTCGGAATATAAAATGAGGCTTAAAGGCAAATGGCGAAAACTGCAGCAACTGTCAGCCAGAAGTCAGCAAGTGCGACATTCAATGGATCCATATGTCCTGCGTCCTGCGTAGAACCATCCTTAGACCGCTGCTGTCGCTCCTTTGTGATTCTGTGATTTGCATAGATTTTTCATTACAGATTTTGTGAGGGGGCCTTAACGTCAAAAAAGGGTTTCCCCCGGCAATTGAAAGATTCCGTTGGTCGTGGGGTGGGTGCGAGAAAGCAGAGTGAAGGAGTGACCCGAGTGAAAGGCGAGTAAAGGAGTGACCCGAGTGAAAGGAGAGTGAAACTGATGACAATTTGATGAAGGTTGCCGCATCGATTTTTAAATTGCCACAATTTCTTCTCCCCCCCACAAAAAAAGGGAACTTCTTTGCTCTTTGCAGTCAAAAAATAAAAATGAGGGGAAGCTTCAGCAGGCCAGAACCTGGTGGCAAAGCTAATTGGCCTTAAAGTTAAGTTTCGCAGTGACTTCTGAGTGGAACCAAAAACTTGGTTTTTGCCGAGTGTCTCGGCAGTGCATCGGAGTCAACAATGCGTGAAATGTTCATTTTTTCTTTTGATTTTCTCTATTCTTTTTTATGTTTGGGATATGCTCGATTTTTTAGAGCTTTTGTTAGAAATAAAACTTGTAGATAGGAATTTAATTAAATAATGAATAAATGTAATATTTCAATTGAAAAAATATTTATAAATAAGAGGAAGTGTCTGGAAGTCCCATTTTACCCATGATAATATAATTTAAATATAGAACGCTTATATAATATTTATAATTTATTTCCCAAAGTATCCATGAATTAATTCTGATTAAACTACCGCTACTAAACCTTTCTTAGTCTTTCTTTTAATATAAAATACCCACAAAAAGAGTATAACAGAATTCTTACATTTCCAAAAATGGCATTACGGTTTCTGGCTTTCCTTTTTCTTGGCAACAAAAGTGCAGAAAAAGTTCCCATTATTTTTGTTTTGTGTGTGTTTGCTTGTAAATCATTTGGTTTTCGCGCCGAGATTATATTTCTGTCTGACAAATAGATTGGGACCTTCCCAAAACCAACCAATCACATTCTTTTCCTCTGTCCCATGCAGTGCCACCGAACATCGACGATGCCCTGACCTCCAGCGACATCATCGTGCGAGAGGGCGATAACGTGACGCTGCGTTGCAAAGCGAAAGGCAGCCCCGAGCCGACCATCAAATGGAAGCGAGACGATGGCCACAAGATTGTCATAAATAAAACGCTCGAAGGTGAGTGCGTGCCACCCCATCCAACATTTAAATCAGGGCTCAATGCCCTGAGCTTACCGCTGCGCAGCCGCTCACGTGTATTACATGTGAATGTGTGCGTGCAGACCACTGATTTAAACACACAATTTTTGTAACTGTTTTTCCATCTTTTCGGACAGTGAACGATCTGGAGACGGACTCGCTTGAGCTGGAGCGCATCTCGCGGCTGCATATGGGTGCGTATCTGTGCATTGCCTCAAACGGAGTGCCGCCCAGCGTCTCCAAGCGGATCAAAGTCAGCGTAGACTGTAAGTCAATAGATGCTTTTAAATTTTAAACATTATCACTGGCTTCTCCCCCTAAATACAGTTTCCCCAATGGTTTGGATACCGCATCAGTTGGTGGGCATACCCATGAGCTTCAATGTCACGCTGGAGTGCTTTATCGAGGCGAATCCCACATCGCTCAATTACTGGACACGCGAAAATGATCAAATGATCACAGAATCACCAAAGTACAAGTAAGTTAAGAACCAATTACGCAACCCGACACGATTTTTCCTCAAGTAAGCAAACCCACTTTTTCTGATTGGCTTGAAATTGTTTGATACAAACTTTGTTGCATACGATTCAAATAAAGTGCGTCTGCAGCAAATTCATACAAATTCGATGGCATTTAATGAGGCCTTTCAGTGCAACACGGCACGAGCCGCAGAGAGATGCCAGCTCTGGTGAGGAGAAAATAAATAATACATTTTTCTAGGCCTCAATTTATTGGTGGTTTAATCTATCCTAAAGGTAACTGCCTGCTACCAGACCCGGCAGCGCTGTTTGGCCTGCATTTTGGTGCGTTTCTCGCAGCCAAATTCCCGTGAGAATTCCTCGAAATTTGCCAGCGTTTGCATCACTCTCAGCTCGTCGACGGCATGCTCCAGATGGGACTGTGCCTGAAGGCTGAGCGCCGGCATTTTGCCGCAAAAGAACTGCCCAAAGCTGATGAAGAAGAGCTGCCGCTGGCTAAACTGCGTGAGCAGGGGATCACGCGGCTCCCGTGGCTTCGATTTCAGGCCAAAGAACGTCTCGTAGACCAGACGCAATGCCTCATAGTCGGCCAGTTTCTCGTTGAGGGACCTCGAACCAGTGGCCAGCTGCTGTTGCATGCAGCGCAGACCCTGGATGAAGCGTTGACTGCCGGCAATCTCCTCGCTGGGTCCCATAATGTTGCCCGTGGCATCGTAGTCAATGCCGGAGGCATCGTAGCCATGGATCAGCTCATGGGCCAGGGCAAAGCCCAGCACCGCATGCTGTTGCAGGGCGCTCGTGTTGCGATGCCACACGGGCAGCTGCAGCAGGCCATAGGGCATCAGCACCAGATTCCGTGGCTTCACATACAACGGCGAGGAGCTGCTCGCTAGCCAGGACTCCGTCAGGTAGCTGACATTCCCCACATCTGTGACTGCTGTGGCGGCGAGCAGCTCGTGATTCTTCTCTACGCGCAGGCGCAGCAGCTTCAGCTGATTCGCATAGAAGTTGTGGCCATTCAGCTCCATCCGCTGATAGTACTCCTCCACGTAACCAGAGTCGTTCATCTGGACAAAGCCGATCTGGAGGCGCATGGCGCGCAGCTTCTCCTGCAGGACATGCACTATGGGCGGCGCCAGCTGCAGTCGATTCTCCTCCAGAATGTGGGCAAACCGTTGCTTGAGCTGCTGAAACAGCGAGCCGACATCCTGCTCGGCCTCCGGATCGTACAGCCGCTGGCCAATCATCCAGCTGCTGGCCAGCGGCATGGCACGCCTCATGCTGGCCACGCACTCGCCGCGCGAGATCTCTGCGGGTCCCTGCTGCTTGAGGAATGCCAGCCACTTCAGCATGATGTAATTGCAGATGGTATCCGGCGGCTGGCGTTCCACCAGCTCGTGCAGCGCCCTCATGTAGGGTATGTTCTGGATGATCAGCGTGGAGCGCACATCGGGTTCGGTGTCCACACGGATCTCCTGCATGAACGGCAGCCACTTCAGCTCCGGCAGATACTCTGCCAGATATCCCAGCTGCATTTCTTTGGCGCCCTCGTCATCCTCCAGCTCCTGCAGACGATGCAGTCGCCGCTCAAAGTCATCCACCTGACGGGCCAAGGCATTCGCCACCCGTTTCGTCTGGCCAATGTCCAGCAGCAGCTCGATCATGGCTCCCTCGCCCATGGGCAGCGTCTCCACCAGACTCGGCTTATCCAGATAAATCGAGTAGGCACTGGAGTCGTCCCAGCGCGGCAGTATCTGCTCTTTGAGCAGCACTCCATTCAGGCCATGCAGTCGCAGTCTGCCGATGGTCGTGAGCCAATGGAACCTCTCCCGACGCCAGCTGCGACTCAGCAGCGGCCAGTGGGTGCCATTGCCCGGTGCCAGCAGCTGCAGATACTTCTTGAGGTTGTAGGGCTTCAGCCGTTTGCACGAGCGATAGTAGAGACGCAGCTTATCGTAGATGGGCGGCTCCTCGTCCATCATGGTCTCGTTGGAGCGTCGCAGTGCCAGCTCCAGCTGTCGATTTAGTTGGTGATCGAGCACGCCCAACGTATCGCTGGGCAGCAGTTGCTCCTGCTCTCGCTCGCGCTCGCGCTCCTTTTCCCGCTCTCTGTGATTGGTGTGGTGCTGCTGGGAGGGCTGCTCCTGCTGCAGCTGCCAGTTGCCACAGGCATACTGATAGAAATTCTCACACGGACGCGCCGTGGTGTCCATGTAGCTCTGCAGCTGGTTGGCCAGCAGCTGGCGTATGGTCTGCGGCGAACGCGTCTGGCGACAGCTGGTGGGTGTGGTGCGCCAGGCCAGCGAGAAGAGCAGCCAAACGATCAGTGTAAGCTTCAGCATGCTGGACAAATTGCAACTGGGCTGGAGATTGTAGTCTGTCCAAGATTCAGGCAGGCAGGCAGGCAGGCAGGCCGGCCAACCGCAGCTGCGCCTGTCAGTCTTCATCGTAACAATGGGGTACAGTGGACACCCACTGTTGTTGTACAGTCACAGCCTCATTCTGGCACATTCTGGCAGCATTTGTGGCCACTGTCCCCCCGTACCTAGTGTGCCGGGTCGCATTCTGATTAGATTTAAGTGAAACACAGCCCGGGCCTGGGACTTATCAGTTTCACCTTGGCCTTGATACCTGATTGCCTCTGATTTGTCCAGCGGTTCTCTCTGTGGCTGAGGCTGTGGCTGACCTACAATATGTACTACGTGTACAATTTTCTGTCATTGAACTTGCGCCCAAAACACACACTGGAAGCTTAACCACCACTTTGCCCCGCTTATCTTTTGCAGAACCGAAACAATTCCGGGCCATCCATCGTACAAGGCGACCATGCGGCTGACGATCACCAATGTCCAGGGCAGCGATTATGGCAACTACAAGTGTGTCGCCAAAAATCCTCGTGGCGACATGGATGGCAACATAAAGCTTTACAGTAAGTACGAATATTGAAGGGTACCCCCACCCCCACCCTGTGTTATTTATACCTTCTAATATTGGTGCATGCCACACCAAGCCCCAAAGCGCAACATAAATTACAAGAGGAGAGGCGTGGGGGCGGTAGCGGTAGTTTTTGGGACAAATTCAAAACTGCATCATTATGTGGCTTTAATTATGGCGGCAGTTTTGTTGCCCACTGGCCAGAGACACAGAGACCATCATTTATGTGTTGGCTGCATGGATACATTTCTGTATGCAGCAGGAGGCTAGGTAGGGTGTCCCATCCCCCCCTACCTAACCCCATTCAGACAGGGATAATAAATGAAGAGAATTTTCAACTTGAAATCGAATAAGAGAACGCTGCAACATTACTAGCTCTAGTGCTAGTTCAGATTTGTAATTACTAAAATTCAATAGGCTTAGTCAAAAACGTAAAGAAAATATCAGAGGAAGAAAAATGGAAGGGCAGGCAGCATTTATGGAGTGGGATTTAATATTTAGTTATTATGATTTTTTGGAAGAGTTAATAAGTCATTGGATTTATTTTAAATTTAAGCAAATATTAATTTAATTTATTTAATATTGTTCACACCATTGTATGATATATTCCTCTTCATTGTTGTGGAAATGTGATTTTAAAAACAAAAGAAATACAAGTTCAGGCATCATATAATTATACACAAGAAATTGGGAAGCTATAGATTATATGGTTGCAGAATTCTATAATAAAAGAAAGGAATATATCGATTAATCCAGTGCAAGAATGCAATTATATGTATATAATAGGGGTATACGTATATTTATCTTTGTTTTGTGAATTAAATTGTTGATCTTTGATTATTTTATGGTGTTTAAATCTCAAAGATCAGCCTAATTGACACGTTAGGATAACATTTATAAATCCCTCCAATTCTGCTTATAAATATTACAATTCCTGCATCTTTTATATTTCCAAAAATCGAGGGAAAGGCATCTATAAATACCCCCCAAGAAAACTCGTTTAAATGGCGTACACATTTAACACATTTAATTCATCATTTACGGGTATTTTATGGTCTGAAAACCACCTAAATATCGAAATTTAAAACCTACCTTTCTACTCCACCAATTTCTGTATATAATAATGCATATTCGCATTACTACATGGGATATTTGCACAGCCCCATAACATTTGCTTTATCAATTGATTGCCACACAGTTCGTTAACACGTTACGCAACCAGAGAGAGAGAGAGAGAGAGAGAGAGTAATGCTCCAAAAGCTCAGAAACTGAACCCATTTGGCAATTAAAGTCCCTTTTGGGCCAATAAAGTGTCAATAATCTGTCAATTTGCCAAATCACTCCCCAGTTACGGCAGTTACGAGGCGCTGGACACAAAAGTTCATAAAACAATATAAAATATCGATGCGTTGGCATCCATAAAAAGGACAACTTAATTTATATATACAATACATATTGCGTATACGTATATGGATACATATATGTATATGTATGCTATAGATTTTTTTTTTTATTTTATATGCCATTGTCACAACAAAGGACTGGAGGGGCGGGGTGCAAGTATACGAGTAGTTGGGAAGTGGGTGTCGTTCTACCAATTAAAGGTAACAATGGGCCCTCCGCCCCCTCCACCAACACACAAAACGAGCGGCGAGTGGCAGGCAGACAGACTACTGATAATAATAAGAGGGGCGGGCTGGCGGTGCCAACAATGAGAACAATGAACCTGTGACAATTTTATTAAGTGGTTGGTCAGAAGGAGAAGATGAAGATGTGCCTGTGTCAGGAGTAGTTTTTGGTGCCGATGCCAAGGCGGAGGCCAAATGCCGTTCCCCATAAATTTTCCCCCCAACAAATTGTCGTCAATAATGCCAAAGGAGGAGCGCACCAGGACCAGGGACCAGCCAACCGAAAAAAAACGAGAAGGAAAATGAAAAGAAAAGAATAAAGAGCGCCGCCACTTTTCTCTCTCCAAGAAATTGAAAACGAAAGGAGAACGAGCGAGCGAGCGAGCGATAGCTTGAATTTACGATGCCTGAAGAGTGAGGAAAATTCCGGCTAAAAAAAAAAGGCCAAAAGCGCAGTTAAGATATTGACTCTGAGCATAGTTATGGGTGTGGGGTGTGGGGGGTGGTAAGGGGTTCCTGTGTCTGGCCATTAAATGAAGTTAGAAGCGTTGTTTATGATTGCATCCGACAGAGGCACTGAGATGAAGACCTCTAGTTGTATTTTCTACTCATTGGATTACACTCGCCAGGAAAAAAAATGTATACATATATACATACATATCTCGTATTCAAATCGTTTCGTTCGTTACGTTTCGTTTCCCATTGCAGTGTCGAGTCCACCCACCACACAGCCACCGCCCACAACCACAACACTGCGCCGCACGACAACCACAACGATGGCAAACACTTTGGATGGCTACAACAACCAACTGAATGGCATGGCAGGAGTAGGAGGAGGAGGAGGAGGGCCCACGAATTCGGTGATTGTGATTGACAAATGTGAGTACTACAAAATGGAAAGCACTGTACTGCACTCCACTCCACTCCACTCACTGTTTAACCCACCAATTGACTTCATTTCTGTGTGTTTTTCTTTTTGGTCGCTGTTTTTGCAGTGGGCATCAAATATCAATCGAATCTGAATGAGATTGGCAAATCCGAACAGAAGCTGACGGGCAACAATCCCAAGGGCTATGACTGGTCCAAGGGCAAGGGCAGCGCCAGTCGTCTCCATCGGTCCCTAATGATGTGCTGGCTCCTGGCACTCCTCTCACTGCTGCACGGTTAGAGCTTCAATGCAATAGAAAATATGTATATCCTTATATTATATATATATATATATATATATATATATAGAGTGCCATTAAAAACAAAACAAAAACATACCAACACAAAAAATGCAAAGAACCACAAAACAAACAACAACAAAGAACATACAAACGACGCCATGCACGTAAAAACAAAACAAAAATTATGATAACCCCAACAAAATGTGAACTTAATTAAGCAAATTGCCAAACGCAAAACCCATTTCAAGTTTTTGGTTAGCATTGTGTTTGTCTTTTCCACCGCCCAAACCAGCCCAACCCGCCCCACAAAGCTCCATAAATATTTGATTCGATTTTTGGTCCATACAAAAAAGATGATCACGAGGCCTAGCATTATTAAAACAACAATAACAGCTACACAAAAAAGTTTGTGAACAAACAAAAGGCAGTAAATTAATCAACAAAATGCTGCGTTTCAACACTCCGACTAGGGGTTTACACTCCACAGGTAAATGACGTTCGTCGATAGAAGGAATGAGTATATGAATACGATTAAAATATCAGCAAAATTGTACCAAGCGGTTTAAATTCTTAACTTTTATTTGAGAATAATAATCCTATATTTTTGGGTACAAAATTTTCAACAGTTTAAGCAAATGAAAGCAGTTGTAGCAGGATCTGGAAATGTTTTAATTTTAGTTATATTATTTAGGTATTATGTTACTATAATTTTGGTGGGTCTATTAACTATGAGTAATTTATAAGTACATAATTATTAAATTGTGGACAACCATTTTGAGGCATTAAATGAAGTAAATTTTAATTTCAAATTTGTTAACCTAGTCGGAGGTTATCCTACGCTCTAAAAATTTATCAAATCTTTAATCATATCCAACAGATTAGGTAACATTAAAGAGTCCTTCTTTAAAGCTTCGCTGCCAGCCCCTTTTTGAGTGTAATTTCTTTTTTGTATTATTAAAGCTATTTTCCTTAAAATCTAACAAGTTTTAGTGAGAGTATTTAAACACAATAAATGAATATACAATTTTTGTGGACAGATATTTTCCCAAAAAAAAAAAAGAAAAAAAAACCAACACACACACACACACAGACCGAAAGCAGGTTAGTTAGTTGAAACATAAATTAATTTAAATAAAAAATTCTGAAAAAAATATACATTTCAAATGTTGACAAATTGTTAAAAAAGAAAAAAACGAGAAAGAAAAAACCAAAAAAATAAACAAAAGCACACACGATATACACACTGTAAATATAAAGAAAAAAAAACACAACCAACGCAAATGCAATTGTAAATTATGTACTCGTTATAAGCTATACAAATGATGGCTCATTTGTAATACAATATAAATATTAAGCAATTTATAATAATAAAGGATACTCAGAGCCAAAAAAGAAAGATGAGAGATAGAGAGAGAGATAGAAAGAACGCGCAATGGCGGCACTAATCAAAAACCAATTAAAGAATATACATTAAATCAGAATAGAAGATAGAAGAGTACCCCAGAGAGGGAGAGAGAGAGAGAGAGAGAGAGAGAGATAGAGTGCAGAGAGCAAAGAAAACAATTGAGTTGGTTGGCTAAAATTCGTATTGATTGAAGCATATTTATATACATACATATATCCATTTAAGCCCGGTCCTAATGCCCAGATGCCAACCATAAGTAAAACTATGTTCTAAACTAAAAATATACATACATACATACACATGAATATACATTTAAATACCATATATCATAGGCTTTAGTTTGTGTTTCTTAGCAATAAGAGTGATAATGTACATTTAATGATATTATGGTTCCCCCCAAAACTCCCCCATCCTCCATACCCACAAGGAACAGACAGCGGAGCGGAAAGAAACTGCAAGCGAGAGAGAGAGAGAAAGAGAAAACACAAATAAAATATCTATTTGGGATTGCTTCATATTAACATGGTTTTCTTGTTGTTTTTTTTTTTTGTTTTTTTGGTGTTGTCAACTGGGTATTATTTGTCCTTACACAACCAGAAGCACTGACCAGAAGAACATCGCATAAATGCAAAGCTTCGTTTTATTCCGGATTTATATTTGATTCCATGTTCCATGTTTGCGTTGCACTTTGGGCACGTGAAATTGTTATTGAACCGGAGGCGATTCTCAGCTCTCGGTACTCGGTTCTGGGGTAATACATTTTCTCTTCCATTTATCTGCACTGCAACGGCAATTGCACAAACATTGTTGCCATGGCAGAAATCCTTTTCTGCTGCTTACGTGATGCCTGGCCTGCCTGCCTTTGCCTCATCTCCTACGTGGCGTATGCGCAATGCAAACAAATAGTCAGCCTTGGATTGGACATCTCTCGAGGCAAGAGGCTGATGGAGCAGTTTTAAGCTGCCACAAAAGACTTCTTCTTTGATTGTAAAAGGTAATCCAAGGGCCCACATACAGGAATAATTATTGATGTATGATTTCTGAACGTATAGTTTAAGTCTCTTGCTTCAGTTAATTATCATACCATATATTTACACTACTTTTTTTTAAGACGGAACAGTCAAGCTACCCACAGTGCTGTAGGTTATCAGTGCTGACAGTATCATCATACAGCCGGCGGATCAATCTAAACGTTGCGAATATTAGTCACAGTTCTGGCAATTTTTTTTATGATTATTTGTGAAAAATTTATCAATCGATCAAGCGGATTTGTTGTTTCACAAGAAAGGCGTGCCTTGCCACTGCTAGATTAGGAAATAAAAACCAAGAAATTCAACAGAAATTGATTCCAAAAGGAATAAATAAAATCTACACCCTAACTACATGTATCTGAAACATTATTCATCTCACTAGAAAACATTTTAACCTAACCTGATATTAGCAAATATGTATGGATGTATGTATATACATATGTATGTACATAAATTCTACACATTAAAGAGTCAAAAAGCTGTTGCATGCTTTTGGGCTGTACAATAAAAATGGCAAACAATTATCGCATGCTATTTTCAAGTTAGTTTTTGTTTCTAAGTGGATTTTTGAGTTCTTTGGGTGCAAAATTATATATAACTAGTTGTACCCTGCCCCGTTCCGCTGTGCCATATTGTGGTTGCACGCATAAGAAATGAGGAACACAGCAAATCATACATTTTAAATAGGAAATAGCAAACAAAAATCTACTTACAGTACAAAAGAGGATTTGGTGACTTCTGCATGCCATTACAAAGTCACAGACCCAAGAGCTATAGGTACACCATAGGTACATTCAAGTCAGTTGCTATAAAAATGTTCCATCCAGACTACGAAAGGGCCAGCACGGTACTCCACGACTTCATTGGCGTTGGAACAGAAGAAAAGCCCATACCCATGGGATCCTGTGTCATTGGAATTCGCTACGACAAAGGAGTACTGATCGAGTCTACAAGATGAACAAGCAAATTATTATGGGCGGAGGTGGCAACTTTCACGATGTCCAAATGTACAGGCGCACAATCTATCAGGATGCATTCAAGATGAAGGCCACGGCCCTAGAGCCTGCTGGTTGAGGAGTACATTAAGTGCACGTCGAATGGCCATGGATACCACGAATGTGGCTCTAATCGTGGGTGGCATGCAGCCAAATGAAAGGCCTTACCTGGTCCCAGTTAGCCCAGTTTTACTTGTTACCCCTTTAATGGAAGATTTGTAATCTGGATTGACAGAATATTCTTCTTGTAAAAACATTTCTGAATAAACCCTACTTAAATGTTTATATTTATATTTTACTGCAAACTATTTTGTTTAATGCATTTTTTTTATTTTTATTTATTTATTTATTTTATTTATTTATTTCACCTAAAATATTTGTTTAATTTTTAAAAATGCTTTTAATATGTATTCTCTTTTAAATTTGTAAGATGGCAATTGGCAATAATATCTACCCAATCAGCCTGTTGTGTGCGGAAAACCGCCCGCTTGAATAAATTCCACAAAAACGAGTTAAAAAGCAATTCGTATCTGCAGTTATAGACCCCCGATCCCAAGGACAATGCATGCCACTCAGACCACCCACGATATGCACTCGGGCTATGCTCCGACAGCAAGGCATTATCTACGATTAGTGGTCGAGCGAGCTAACTAAAGGCGAGCATGCATTTAAATGAAGAGTGCTGATTAGCGCAAAGAGCTTGTTGCCAGCGGCTGCCTCGAACACAGCCATACAACCCAAAAGTAGTCTCGAGCAGTCTAATTATGTTGATTTTTAAGAACTTAAGTGATAAGATAATTATATATAGTATTCTACGTTTACGGGTTTGTTAAATGTATTAAGTATTTGTGCCAAAAAAACACAAAACACTAAATTCTAATTGGGCAATAAGAAAATTCTCGTCAAATTAAGATAAGAAAACGATATAAAACGAACTCCACGGCACTCTCCAGTCAGTTTTCAGCTGGTTATAATGCAGTCAAAGTGGATCTACGGATTGCTGGTGTTTTTCCTCTGCAAAAGCATCACAGGATTGGCGGATGTTGAAGGGGTAAAGTTTCGAGTGTACTCATAAGATGGAAATTAGGAAATTAGCAAACAAAAATCTTCTTACAGCGTGTCATAAACCAAACGGACAGAACTGATATTCAAGAATTGTATTTGGATGGTCCGTATAGACACTGTCCTATTGATTCCAGTGCCCATGGTATATATACAATACAGGTAGGGGAACTAGATCCCTTCCCAGTGTTCTGCAATGCAAAGATGGCGGGTCCTGGCTGGACTGTGATCGCCCGTCGAACCAACAAGGAGCTGAATTTCTTCCGCGACTGGGATGGGTACAAGAGAGGATTTGGTGACATCGCAGGCGACTTCTTCATAGGATTGGATAAGCTGCACGCCATTACAAAGTCACAGAACCAAGAGCTATACGTACACCTGGAGGACTTCGAGGGGAACACGAGATATGCCAAATACGATGAGTTCCATATCGAAAGTGAAAACGATCAATATCGAATGTCCGCGTTGGGCAGATTTACTGGAGATGCGGGTGATTCGTTGAGAGTCAGTCAGAACCAGAAATTCACCACCTACGATAGGGACAACGATCAAAGGGCGAATGGAAGAAATTGTGCTGCGGAACAAATGTGTCCCTGGTGGCACAACGATTGTAGCCATAGGTATGTCTATATATATTGTCTTTTAATGATTGCCTCAACTCTCCTCATTTCAGTCAGCCTTTCGGCATATATGTGGATGGTATCGTGGATATCATGAGGACTGGGGGGATATATTGGTACCATTGGCGCGGATATGAATACTCTTATAAAGCAATGCAAATGATGGTTCGTCCAAAGTGCTCTTGCCCTAATAAGAAATAAAATAAATATTAAACTACATACAACGTATTCTTATGAATTCGTACAAAAATACAAGTCACGAAGGCAGTTGTTTAATCTGGTTATATTCATAGCATAATCCATTCTTCGTTCTGTACTCTACGCGCCTTATAAATATATAACCTGTTGACCAGAATTATTGTTCACTTAAATACAACACTTTTTAATCTTTGGAAACCTTTTCGAACAACCCTCGTACACCATTTTCCCTTTTCTGAAAACTCATGTACATTGGCATGCCCGTTTATTGCAATATTTTATTTATATGTTTGCCAAATGTTTTATTCTTAGTAGTTCCATGTCTGAAATAAATAAAATATACTTATATGAAAATATTCTTCCATTATATATATATATCGTTGGCTCCGCCATAGCTCAATCCTAATTTTCGCTGCTGATGCATAGTGTTTTGTACGATCCTTGGATCCATAAATCTTTACTGTCGTATTAATTATATTTTGCTTACGTCAATTGAAAAATAAATAAGCTGAATATAAAATAAATTAAACTGAATAAACTAAAAAATGTTGTTCTATAAGCACAGAACACATTTAAGGCTGGTATGCAATTTCAATGGATGTGGAATGTAATTTAATTTAATCATTAAAATTGAAAACTTTTGGCATTAACTTTTTCTTTGAAAGTTTTATTATTTAAAATACAATATTTGTAACATTAAATGTTGCTGCTTACAAAACTACGTTGCATGACAATGCTTAATGGCTAAAGATATACATATTACAATTAAATGAGGTTTGGTGTGGCTTTGTTTTGTTTTGTTTTGTTTTTTTCCCCCGTCATATTTTGATCAGACCTCCACAGAGCGACGATCGAGCAGTGTGTCCAATATCTTGTCCATATGCTCGCTGCAGTTGGCCAGACAAACATCCGCGTACTCGCTGAGGAAATACATGAAGCTCTCCAGCTGTTCCATGGAGCAGGTGCGGAAGCCATTGTCCCGCCCAATGTTGTCAATGGCTCGGATAATGGAGCGCAGCTTCTTCACATATTCGGGCGTGTTGCGGCAATGCTCCAGCGAGTCATTCGACAGATTCGATGGCTTTGAATAGCTGCGAATCCGTTCCTCCACATTCTTAAGCTTCGTTTGCTGCTGCTTCAGTACCTGCATCATTTGTGGCATGGACATGGCTGGTGAACGCACCACTGGAGCCGCCTTGGCGAACAGCTCATCGAGTGGCACCGCCTCGTAGTCCATAGAGAACATATCCGGGGAGAAGGAGAGCCTACTGCCACTGCCGCTGCCACTGTTGTTGCTGAAGCTATCCGACTCGAACTCCGTTTGGTCCAGGTCGCTCGTTTTGATCGTGTTGTTGGCATTGCTGCCCATATTCGGCCAGGCGTACTTGCTGCGTCCCTCCAGTCCATTGCTGGCGCCCGTCTGCAGTCCCACCAGCATGCTGTAGCTGCTCTCGATGGAGTACTTTTGGGTGGTGGGCCAGAACTCGGGCACGCAGCTGAACTCCAGATGATCCACGCCAAAGCGCAGCTCCGCCTGATCGTTCAGCTCTGCAGCCAGGAACTCAAACAGCCGCTCCACCTTCTCGCCGGCCATTAGTTTGCCGCTGAATGGCACTGCCAGGTCACCGCTGGCGAACCAATAGTGGGAGCATCCCTGCACGCTGGGCGGACGCTCCGGCAGCGATTGCTTGGCCTCCTGGCGGCCGCCTCGCGTAAACTTGTGCGCATCGATGCCGAAGGCCATGTCCCTCGTTTCCCAGCTCTTCTGCGTGAAGATCTCGTACAGCAGACCCAAACGTTCGGGCGTATTGTGAAAGATCTCCAGTGAGACGGTAAAATCTCCAGCAGATAACCAGAACATTGACTTGGGCTTGGGTGCCGGCATCTCGTCCTGTGACGAATTCATCTCCACTGTCGGTGCATTCGCAAAGAACTCCCGCTCGCTGCAGGGCGTCCTTGGGGAGCTGGGCGTATCATCTAGATCCAGTGGATGATCCTCTCGAATCACCTGCATGGCCAAGGAGCTGCGTCGCGGTCTATTGTCCTGTGCGGGCGTCAAGATCGGGCTGAACAGCTGCTGTTGGGCAGGACTCACTGCATGGCGACCTTTGACGGGTGTCGAAAAGCCCGACGGCTTGCCACCCGTCGTACCCACGGAGGAACGTCTGAGGGGACTGCCACCATCCATGGCATCGTTCGAGCATGTCTCAAAGCCCTGATCGATGAAGCTATCCCTCATCATGGTCTGATCCAGTGACTGCCTTGGCGTCTGTGCCGGCGACTGATCGCTGTCCGCATTCGGTGACGGCGACGACATCACCGTCAGCGTGTACGCAGACTTGATCTTGCGCGGCGAGTTCACCTGCCGCATCAGCGACTTGTCCAGCTCAATGTAGCTCTGCTCGGGCATTGGGATTGGGATAGTCGGGGGTGTCTTCTTTTTGGTGTGTGCTGCCAGTGCTGCTGGCGCTCTGTAGTCCGAATCCGAGTCCGTGGAGGTAATGGCATTGGCCGTGGCCTCCACAATGGAGTTCTCCTTCTTCCAGGTGAGTGTGCGTCGCATTTTCTTCTTGCGTGGCGGACGCTGCGGCTTGGCAAAGTCAAAGTCATTCGTTTGCATCATTTCCTGTTGCATTTCGGGCTGAGATTCATCGCTGGTTATCTTTGGGAATAAAATAAATGTTAGTGTGGGATGCTCGCAGTGGAATGATCGGCATGCTGGCACTTACCTTTGGTAGAGTAGACAAACCGGATTCACTTTCCTCAGCATCCGATTGCTTGCGACTCGAAGAACTGCTCGACATGGCGCAGGTGGACTGCGTTTGACTCAAACTGGGACGTGGCGCTGGCACTGGCGCTGTCACTGGCGCTGTCACTGGCACTGGCACCGGCACCGGCGGTGCCTGGCGCTTCACCTTGCGTGGCGTCACTGTGGGCGTGTCCACTTTTGTGTCCACTTCCTTAACCTCCAACTGGCTGGACTCTTTCCTTTCCTTATTCTCCAGCTCCAGCTTGGCTATGGCCTCTTCTAGCAGCCGCTCCACTGCCGATCGCTGGCTTACCTCGCCCATCGATGTGGCCGTCAGGTCTGGCGGCGCCTGACCAGCCGAACTCTCCTCCTCCAGGGCAATCTCGATGGTCTGTTCGCTGTTGGAGGCGCAGGTAATGTCGAATTGTACGCCATTCTCGGCACTTAGCCAACTGTAGAAGAGACTCTCCAGCGGCTCGTTCTGAAAAAACATCTGATGTCGCTCCTGACGCGTTCGTCGAATCTTCTTGGGCGGCGCAAACGCCTCGATGGGCAGCACACTGCGTATGGAGGCGAGATTTCGCTTCTGTGAGCCCTCACGCCCCTGACTCTCGCTCTGGCCACGCTCCAGGCAACGTCTTGGTCGCGGCTGTGGTGCCCGTCGCTCGGGGCTGGGCTTCAGGATCACCGTCAGTGTGCTCACATGGAAATGTGAGGTGCAGCTGGTGGTGGTGGTGCCAGCTGCTGCTGTCTCTTCAACAGCTGAACTACGCTCATTGGGTGAACTTGATGTGCTGGATAGTCCTCCTGCTGGTCGCGGTGGTGTGCCCGGCTCTAGTATGCACTTTGCCTCGAGCTCCTTGGCCAATAGCTTGACACTCGCCTGCTGTTCGGCCACCACCTCGCCGCGTGCCATCTGTTTCTTCACCTTTGCCTTGAGATCCGCCGCATGGGCCGTGAATTTGGGATGCTTTGCTGCCATATCCCCAACGAATTGGTTGAACAGCAACGCCTTATCCCGCACACTCAGCTCACGGAAGACCTCCTCGGCCACCAGGCAGGGGCCCCTGTCGCGGCTCCAATCTCGACTGCGGCTGGGGCTTGGCCTCGGGCGAGCATTCATTGTGCAGCTGGACATATTGTGGCTCTTCGCCGCGTCGCATCACCTGGCTAATCTTCGAGTTGAAGAGCTGTGCCATTTCCTTCACTTTCATGGGCAATTTACCCGCTGACTTGGTGGCTGCACCTGCTCCTGCTCCTGCTCCTGCTCCTCCTGCTCCTCCTGCTCTGCCGGATGATTGCGGCGTCTCTGGCTGCTGTTGTTGCTGCTGCTGCTGCTGCTGCTGCTGTTCGTATTTTTGCTTCAGTTCGCTTATCTTTATCTTGCCAGCATCCACTTTGTGCTTGGGCGGACTGACAACCATCTCGGGCTGCTGCTGATTCGCCAGCTTGGCAATGGCACTGGCCACCTTGCCGGAGCAGGCAACCAGTTTGTCGGCCTCTGCACACTTGGTGGGTGTGACGGGCACCTCCTCGTCAAAGTACTTCATGAGATTCTCAATGCTGGACAGATCCAGGTCGGTTATCGGTACCCTTGACTTGGTGGGCGTCGCATACGAATTCTGATGCTCCAGGGCGCTCAAAAAGCGATCATCATCCAGCGAGGAGATCTCAAAGAGCTCCTCTCGCGTCATGGTGGCCCGTAGCAGGCCGCAGGCATCGCTGCTATGACGACTGGAGCGACGCCGCTGCTCCTCAATCTCTGCATTCAGTTGCAGCAGTTCGCTCAGATCCTCGCTATTCATGGCCGCCGTGTCCATCATGAGCTCGTGGTGGCTGCCCGCCGGCTTCTGGTTGGGTGTGGAATTGCTTAGAACCATTGTTGTTGGATTTCACTGCTCGTTGTTTACGTTAGACGTTCCAGTTTGTAACTGTGCTGGTTGTGTGCTTGCCCAGCGGTTCTTATAGCAATGGCAGGTAGCTTTCTGTACGTTGAGGATTTAGGTACATACAATTTGGCATTTGGCAAAATGCATTTATGACCATCCGCTAATCCGCGCAGATCAATCAGGTAATCTCCTTTAGCAGCTGCGCATATAATTGGGGGTTTTTCGCGTACCTTCCAGGAACGAATTCGACCTGCGAATACATATGTACATGCTCAACAGGTAGTCATTTTTTTAGTTATGTTTATGATCGAAAAACACTCTGAGCACTTCTACAAGAAAAGGTAAATTTGACTTGGAAAATTCTAGATTTCTACAAGAGACAGAGCGCAGAATAGTAAAGAGATCAAAACGCAACATAGAACAGAGCTACGACAGCGAAAGAATTTCCAAAGAAAACGCATAAAGTAAAGTTAGAACCAAAAAAAAATTACACACACACAGAAATCAGAAATCTGAAAATGTTCTTAAATTTTTAACAGCAATTAAAATCTCATAAACGAAAAATTTCGCCACATCCTCGTTGCATAAATCTTTGGCACAGCAAATACAAATACGAGCACGACTAACAAGACCCCAGTGGATTGCAGTAGCGCCACAATAAAAATCACACACGAATAATACTCGTACTCGTACTCGTATTTGGAACATTTTTGTGCAACTTGTCGTTTGGATGGAGCTGTGGATGGGAATGGCTCGGGAATGGTAAAACTTTTGTGTGCCATTTTTGCCATCTTATGCAAATCACAGCCAAAAAGCAATGACAATCCAAAGGGAAACCAAAGATTTGAAGGGGTGTGGGGAGAAAGTAACCTCAGGTGACAAAAATTTCGGTCTTCCCAATAATGATGATGATGAGCAGTGAGTCCTGTCTTTCGCTCTCTCTCTCTCTCTCTCTCTCTCTCTCCCGTTATTGTTCCCTTTAAATAGACAGATTTCAATTTGCTAATAGCCACGTGGCATACATATTTCCCCTGCAAAAAGGGGGCACCACCGGCACTCTCTTTTTCTTGTTCTTTGCGATTTAGTCTAGACAACAAATTGAAAAAGTAAAAGGTTTTCCACCATTTTGGCTCTCTCTCTTTCTCGCTCTCTCGCTTGCTCTGTCTATTTTCCTTTGTCTGTTTGTTTGCTCTCAGAGAACTGTGCTTTCAATAACTTTAATATGGTTTGTACGTCGGAAATTGAATTGAATTACTCCGCGAGTAACTCGAGAGTGAAATGCGGTAGTTGTGCAAGAGTTTTTCCTCGAGTCTGCTCTGTTTCGCTCTGTGAAAAGTGAGAGGAGCCTCAGCCTCAGCCGCCTGGCAATGGAAGTGGAAGTGGAAATGCAAGTGGCAGTGAACCGCAGATATTTTTAATGCTCGTCTTCACTCAGCGAAAACGCACCAGAAAATGTACTTGGCCAAAAGTGTGAAAACGGGTGAAAGGGTATGATGGCTCAGACTGATTCAGAATGCGTAAGTGTAGATTTTTGCACCAAACAAAAAATCAACACTGGCTGAAAAATAAATTATAAAGGAATTATGAACACTGAACAAGAGAAACTTAAATATTCGGATATATAAATTCTATGAAGGTGATTTAAATGGTGCACTTTTTAATGCCTTTAATGTCTGAATTTTTAGAAGGCAGAGAGCCTGAGACGAGTCTTTTGAACGGAATTAATGTACCTCTTGTAACGATAATTATTAACTATTTAAGGCAACTACAAAATTAAAAATATGCGAGTGTCTTCTGCTCTGCTGTTAACTATCAACTATTTATTTGCATACATTTTGTATTGCTTTAGAAATAATTTTAATTTTTTCTTTTCATTTGAAGTTTCCTTTTTTAACTGTTACAAGCTTTTTGTTTTTTAGTTATCTATAAGACCGAAAACATGCCAGAACCTAGACATTCCTCTATAAGGTAAATAAATAAAGATGCGCTGTCTCTCTTTCAGAATTTCTACTGGCAGTATTTTACTATCTTTCAGATACTTTCACACACACTGCCTTGTACAAGTATATTCCCTCTCGAAGTCCGGTGAGGCGTAATTGAAATATGAAATTGGTGATTCAACAAGGCGTCCATTGACGTCCTCGTACGCGTTCTCGGCAGTGGTTCTGGGTCCTTGGAGCGCAGTGAGGCAAGCCAAGCTGCCTGCCTGCCTGCCTGCTTGCCTGTCCGACAAAAGAGGAGCTGCTGCGGAAGTGTTGGGTTCCCATTGAACCGTTAACGACTCGGCATTCTTCACGGCCTTTCTCTCTCTCTCTTCTCTTTCGGCCAGGGCCGGGACCCATCCTGGGATGCAGAGATTAATTTTCGCTCGCTTGTTAATAAATTAATAAATTAAATTGCATATTTTCTCTTTGGCGGTATGCCTTTTTCACGATACGATGATATCATAAGAGTTATGTGCCAAAAAAAAAGTGTAAATTTTAATATAAATAATTTTCGCTTGATTTTCGTTTCACTTTGATACAAACAACATTCTACACACGATTTTTGCTCTCTCTCTCTCTGTCTCTCTCATGTGTCCTGACTCCTATCACTGCTGTCACTTTAGTGCTTTGAAAACTATTTTCAATCATTTTGAATAAATTTTGTGCGACTTTCTCTTCACGGAAAATGAGAATTTTTCACCTCTTTAAAGTGTCAAACCACACGTATTAAAAACGATTAATTAATATATATATACTGAGCTGCTAATGGATTTATAGGAGAGTTTTTCCCACACACTTTCTTTTTTGTTATTGTTTTTCTGTTTGCTAAATTGCAATTAATTAAAATAGAATCAATTAAAATCAAATGAGGGATTGCAGTTTAATGATTAGGAACCGTTGAAGTACAAATCATGAATAAATTATGCCACGGAAAATTATGAAATATGAATATTTTAATGGATTTTGGGAATGGGATTGAAATGAAAGAAAAAGATTAATGTTTTTATAAAATGCATTTAAAACTTAATCATTTAAGCGCTCATTAAAATCTAAAAGCTGTTATTTTATTATTTTGGATAAAAGAAAGATTTAAAATCGAATTAAAACACTGTTTATATGATTTATCAAATCCACTAAAATAAAATTCAGAAAATTTAAAGAAAAAATACATTTTAATAGAATCCAATCATTCAGAAAATCCCCAAAATTAGAGACACAAAATATGAAATATTGAAGTACTTTTTAGTGTTTTCTGCATAAATTGTTATCTGCATGGACAAGCCTCCTCCAAAAATAACCATTGAATCGAGAGCACTATCTTTATGTATGAATGTAGATGTACTCTCGTACTCGTACTCGTGACCCCTTGTGTCGGGGATCACCTCTCGTGCTTAAGGTTAATCGTTAGCCGCAATCATGAATTGCAGCTCAAATTGCGTCATACGTTAATTCAAACAGATAATCAGGTTCCGATTTCCGAGCTACGATCATAATTAATAACTAAAAAACGATGTGTAACAATTAATACAGCGAGTGCAGAGAATGTGAGTGTCATTATTCATACGCTGAGAGAAAACCAAAACTCAATAGTAAACAAAATAAATAAATTTAATAAAAATAAAAGAAATTGTAATAAGTACAAAATTAAAATAATATTTATATTTTAATTTCATTTTATTTTTAATAATAATATTAATTAATATATATTTAAATTAATGATTGGAATAATCTGAATTTGGAATAATCATAATGTGGTGCTCCTTCTGGGGATTCATTTTAATGGTATTTTTCCATAAAATACTAAATACTAAGAAACCCCCAAAAGAATGATACATTTACTTAATTTCCCGATAATTCTCTACAGAAAACCTCTCTCTTTTAATATTTCCATTAAACTTGAGAGAATAAAATTCTACTCGAAAATGCCTTCCATTTATTGCGCTCAGTGTATTTCCAATAGATAAGAAATCCAAAAGAAAAGACGTATTTAAAGCGCTCCGCGCTTATCAGCTAACCAAGCGAAAAAAAGAGCCGAGCTGCAAGAATCTCTCACACACACAGAGAAAATCGAGCGGACAGTGGATTGAGGAATAATTAAGAGTGATTTTACGAGTAATATATGGGGGTTTTATATTTCGTTTGGAGCTGACCAAGCCGACCAAGCCGACCCACCCGAGCCACACATTGGGAGAATGGAAATGGAAATGCGAAATGCGAGAATGAACATAAAAAACGGAACCGCGTGAAACGAGTTTTTAGTTGATTTTTAGCAAGCGGCAAACGCGCAACAGCAAACCAATCCAAAATCAGAAATTAACAAAAAAAAAAACAAAAACGATCCGCGTGAAATTGTGAAATACATTTTTTGGCCATAGAAAATTTTGACATGATTGCGATTAAAAATCCACAAAGTGAACAAATCAAAAGGCCTACAGCAATTGCAAGTTGGAACAAATAACCCAAAGAAAAAGAGAGCAAGGGGAGAAAGCCAAGTGAAAACTAATTAAAAAGTGAAGAAATTTCAAACCAAATTTTTGGTAGCTAAAGAAATGGCGCAAGATCTGTGGACTTTCTTTGTGCTGCTGCTGGTGTTGCTGCTGCTGTCGATATCCATCGAGGCAATGCCATCCACTTATCAGCTGAATCAGCGCTGCCCGTACCAAAGCCAATGCGATCCTTCGATCAATTGGCAGCACATCCGCAGACTGGAGAGCTATGTGCGTACAGATGTGGATCCCTGTGTGGATTTCTATGCCTATGCCTGTGGCAATTGGCGGCGCATTCACGGCGAAGGTGGCACAGCGACAACGATAAGTGAGGTACAGATTAATCAACGCTTTGAGGACCTATTTCTGCGTCTTCTGCAAGATCCACTGGCACCGGAACATGGCTATCCCATGCAACAGAAACTGCTGACACACTATCAGAGCTGCACGGCTCTGAGGAGCCCCAATTTGGGGCAGTATCTGCAGCTATTGCCACCACTGCCCTCGCTGAATACCTCGCACTGGATGCAGCTGGTCTCTATCCTGGGTCGGTATGGCTATCACGATCATTTTGTGCAGATCGAGGTGCGGCATCACAACATCAGCCAGCACATGATCTTCATACAGCCGCACAATCACAATCTCAGTCTGAATCTCACGCAGCAGATCTATGAGGCACTGCCACAGCGGAATTTGGATTTTCTGCAGCTCAAAGAGATGTTTGCTACACTGGAGGCACATCTCAATCGACTGGCCAAGCCCAATATTGCGGATGATAGTTTTCACAACCTAACGCTGGAGGAGATTCGTAGAAGAGTCCCGGAATTGGATTGGTTGGGCGCCTTGAAGCGACAGCTCAATCGTTCAGCGGTGAACGCTGATCATTCGTTTCAGGTGGACGAACTGTCGGCCATTAGGCAGCTGATATTGTATCTCAATCGGCAGGACAGACTGCTGTTGAATCTGTACAGTCTGGCTAGATTTCTCAGTCATCTGCTGCAGCTGCCACACAATCCATTGGGCAGCCTGTCCGCGTCTCCTTTGGCGTCATCGAAGTCCCTCTCCATTGCCTGCATTCGTCACATGCGTCGCACCCTCTATTTGCCCATGATTTATGCCTACGAGCGGGTGTACTATGCACGGCAGCGACCATCCGATGAGCGTGTCATCCACAGTGTCTTCACAGAGCTGAAGGATCAGCTGGTGCGTACGCTTGATCAGAACAACTTCAATCTAAACCGCGGCCTGGTGGAGGCGCTGCAGACAAAGGTGCTGGGCATGCGCCTGAATGTGGGCAATGTGCCCAGAAATGTCACAGAGGATTTCTTTTGGGCTGCCGACAGCAGCTGGACGGTGGGTCGCGACTTTCACGAGAATCATCTGAACAGCCTGCTCTACTACTATGCGCTGACGGCCAAGCTGGAGGATGCCAATCCGGATGCCGCAGAGAAGGCCATTTGGTACAGTTTCAACAATCATTCGCCCGATCTCACGGACAATATCGATGCCACGCCCTACTTTTATTGTCTGGGCAATATCATCATCATTCCGTACTCGTACGCTCAGCTGCCGTTCTACCATTCGGAATTGTGGCCCGCCATGCTCTACGGGGATCTGGCCAACACCTTGGGCCACGAGATGCTGCACGCCTTCGACACGGATCTGGTGGACTACGATGTGCAGGGGTAATATGCGTGACTACGGCGAGCAGCTGCAACAGCAGCCGCTCTATGTGGAGGCTGTCAGGTGCCTGAACGACAGCTCTGTGGTGCTGAATGAACGCACTTCGGATGTCAGTGGATCCCGCCTGGCATTTCGCACCTACATGAAGGATGCCCAGAGCATCCGGCAGTCGAATGGCAGATACTATTTCCTGCAGTTCTCGCATTTCTTTTGCGGTGACGAGGGCGACAGATACCATGACATGGGCAGCACGCGCCTCAATTATGCCTTGAGTCAAATGCCCGAGTTTTCCGAGTACTTTCAGTGTGCCAGGGGCACGCCCATGAATTCTGCCCAGCAATGCCAGTTTTGGTAGCCAATCTATAGTATATATGTATATATATATATATATATATATGTATCGATTAGTATATTTAGCATTTAGTTTATTGTTTAGCCGGTGCATAGCTTTAATTAGTTGCCTCCCCCCCCCCACAACAACAAAACAACCCCACACCCTCTCAAGTATTGTGAATAAATTTCCTTGTTTTAGGAACCTTTAACACTGTACACCTCTTCTTTTGTGTGTTCTGTTTCTCTTTCTATTTTGGTTTCTAGTTTTTGTTTGCTATGCGGCACGGCACGCATAATGTCGAGCATTGCAGGCGAAGCGTCGCAGACAAGTTAATTTTCAATTACGTGGCGCAACGTGAGCAACAGCAACAGCCCAGGCTGAAAAGTAAGGTTATATCTATGGATTACGAGATGCCTGCACCACGTGTGAAAGTAATCCAAACAGTGGATCATGCGCCAGTATTTTGTGGCGGAGAAAGAAGAATTTATCTATGGATTACGGGGTGCTAAGTGAAAGGGAATTAACCATCAAATATTGTGTGGGCTTTAGACACAAAAGTTACCCAACAATTCCGATTAGAGAATATTTTCACTACACAAAATAAATAAATTTTAAATTTATACAATATCTGCTTTCAAAGCTGTGGAAATTATTTTTTATTTTATTTATGTTATTTTTATTTTTTTTTATTGAAATTAATTTTAAAACATTATGAAAAAATATGAAAATTAAATTATAAATTAATAATTTCTTATATATAAATTAGGAGCCTTCGGTTCCCAACTTTGTACTTAAATGAATTTTAACATATATTTCAACTCCAAGCGCGTTGGGTACCCGAAATAAGTTTATTAATACAGACAAAATCGAATTTTAATGCTAACTATGAGTATTAATTTTATAAAGTGAACATTTGAAGTGTATACACCTTATATATAGACTCAACAAAGCCAAAACACACTTTCGATACCAATTGAAGTAAAAAAAAAAGCAGAAGCGGCACTAAGATTTGTTTCGTCATGCCTTGAAATCAAAAACCGGGCAGTACCTCCCAGTCGAAACACAGCAACAGCAAACTCACACAACTACTACTCACGCGAAATAGCAGAGTATGCGTGTGTGTGTGCGTGTGTGCCCTGTATCTATGTGCGTATTTCCCGGCATGCTTTTTTTTATGTATTTGCTAATTAACACGCTTCCTGCCGCACAACAGAGCACCAGCAGTCGCAGTCGTAGTCGCAGTCGTAGCCGAAGCCAACGCAGATGCTGAATGCCGATGCCGAACAAAAAGCAGGGGGAAAGATGTCGTTTGGCTTTCACTTGGCAACTTGTTGAAGGTCGTTGCGCATATTACTCATACGACGCGTGGCTTGGCGGCATGGGTATTCAAACGGTATGCCTTCACCTGGCAACCGCATTAATAGACCATTAACAACATGGCCCCGGTACACGATGCACGTGAGTAAAATGACAAAACCAAAATGGGAGTTGGGTCAACCTCAGAAATGGGAATTCAATCCCACCCCTCCACCCCACCCCACCACACACACACACACAGACGAGTCGCTGTCTAGCTGTCTAGGGTATTTGCTGACGAAGCGAAATTGCAGAAGCTTTTTAAGGGAGAGCAAAATATCAGTTGCATGAATAGAAACATCAATGAAGACTTTTCAGACTAAAGTTCAACTTGAGTTTTAGCTCAAATCAAAAGCGTTTACTGGATCTCTTAAAGATTTCACCATTAAAGCGCTCTGGAAACGTGCAAGAATTATAATATTCGTATGTTTCAGTGGATTTGTAAATACCGGAATATTTTAAGAAGCAACCATAGGAATATGAAAAAAATCTTTAAACATATTTTACAAAAAAAAAAAAAACGCAGAGTTTCTGTTCAGCTAATCGTTTCAGCATTACGTTTCGTTTATCAATCAACAGCATTACGTTTCCTTAACTATAGAATCAATCATATACATACATAATATGTATGCATGTATGTAGGGTAGGTGCATTAGGTGCATAACTTTCTGCGTATTTGGTAGAAATAAATGATAACTGATTCATTGTCGGAAATCCTTAATAAAATAAAAACTATATTAATAAAATATGGGTTCAATATTCCCCTGAGCATTCTCTTAAGTTCATTACTACTTATTCCTAATCAAAGTACTCTAACAGATCTATAAAATAAGTACAACACTTGGAATGAGTCAAGAAACTCTTAGCAATTGTACGTACTACCGATTATAGGTTCATTAGTTCCTGAATATTATCTCAAGTGCACTTCAATTGATTGGAAATCAATGTATGAGTACGAGTAGTTTAACAAATCCATAAACCATAGCTGCGGCACTTGTAATGAGTATTTCCCAAGTTTTCAGTAATCACACACACAAACACACACACACACACACACACGGAGAGAGGAAGAGAACACACTTGAATTAATGCGAATGTCTAGCAGTGTCTGGCGTTTGTCGGACTAGCGACTAGCCACTGTGTACTCGGGGGGCATTATGCTGAGTCGCGCGATTTGCTTGGGTCTCCTAACTACCGATTTCATTGGAATCGCGACCGACTGAGACGCGCGACGACGCGTGGCTTATCAGTCCGAGGGCTTGGGGCTTTTCAATTCATTCATGTAAGTCAAATTGGTTGTGCGGCAGGCAGGCAGGGCAGGGCAGGCCTGTTCAGCATTATTGTTGGGCTTTCGGTTTATAATTAAGTTTAATTTTAAATCGCTTCGCAAAGCGCAATTTGCACACATTCAAATGACGCAATCCACACGGAGAATTGTATCAGCAAAAAGGCCACAATATAAAATCTGAATCGTGCTGCTTGTACTGTTCCGCACTGTACGTTGGCGGGAATTGATGTCACATGTCACGTGTGCCCCCAATGGGTTCACTCGTTTGCTCTACTCTCTCTCTCTCTCTCACTTTCTCTTTTGGTTGCCGGCCGGACTTGTGTGTCTGTATGTCTCACACGTGTTGCATGATTGCCGATTGATTGTTGAGAGGCAATTATTATTGCGGGGGAAATGATGAAATTACAATCCATTGGATCGTCATTCGCAAAGTGTTCGACATAATGAGTTAATGTTACATAAGGCTATAAATAATTATTCTAAAGAGTTGGCAGCGGGTTTTCTGCTTCACTTTTATGCCTGATATTGTTTCACTTTTAATTGCCTCTTTTTGTTGTTTTTGTTGTTGTTTATTCCACCCGAAATTCCACGATAACCTGCACCTATACCTCCTAATCGACCCACAAAGAAAGTGTCGAGAGAACGAGCAGAGGGTGGAGTGGAGGGATCGCTGCTTTGATTTCAAAACAAAATGCGCATAATGCCGGTCGTTGGTGGCTCTACCAATAAAAATCCAAAATCCAAATCTCTGCGGCTGCGATTCTCACGTTCTGGTGTCACTGACAGCAGCGTTGGTCTGGTGGTCCGCTCGTCCGGTGTCTGATGTCCGCCTGACCACCGTCTGGTGTCTGATGTCCCGAATGTTTGACAGTGTGTCCGTCCGTTCTGTACGACAGTCTAGTTAGTCCGCAAAAACCCCAAGCCGCATGTGTTTATTATATAACACTCTCTGTATTCGTATCTGCCTCGCGCGCTCCCGCTCACCCTCTCTCTCTCTAACAAGAGTATTTTTTCAGCGACCACAATGTTTGTAAATGCTTTTCAACATTTGGTGGGATTTTTGTGGATTGGTTTGTCTGCCATTTTGCTGTTGTTGTCTCCTCCATGTCCCTCTGTTTGTTTGACTAACTATGGAGTTGTGTCCTATCGGTGCGACTGATTTTTGTCGCTGCTTCTGCTGCTGCTTCTGCTGTTGTTGGCATCATTGTTATGCCTTACAAACAAGACAGACAGACAGCGAGACAAACAACGGGACAAACACCGAGACAGACAGACACACGTGCTGATTTTCACACGAAAAAAGTCTCTTTTTTTAGTTTGTTGTTGTTTTAAAATGAGTAATTGGAGAGCAGAAATAAAAGCAGAGTTAATAAAATGTAACTTTCGCTGATAAAACACTTCTTAAATATATTGTTAATTTTTTTTGTTAAATTAAGAGCATCACACATTTACAGAACATTTATTAAAAAATTAATCAAATGGAAATTGAAGATTAGATAAAAGATAAAGATTTAAATAGAAAAAATACTACAATACACTTACCTTAGTTATCTAAATACATATACATTTATGTACATTAAAAAACATTAATAAAACGAAGAAGCTTGTCTATGACAATATCTGAAAGAAAAAAAATGAAAAGAGCACCGAATTAAATATATCTTTTTATATACTTTTCTAAATTTACTTATTGTAAAATTTATTATCTTTATTATGCTCATCAGTATAAACAATAGTCTAAAAAGGCATTGCTAAGTTTTACAGCACATAAATATATTTTTAGTTGATGCAAAAATGTTCCTTTGATTACTCGCTTTTTGTAATAGTCTTAAAAGTAATGTTTTATTAGTATATTTATTAATCCAGATATACACATCATCATTTCCCCATTTATATGTACAATTTTCTCTGAATTAATTGCCAACTTTGAAAGTAGATAAATGTAGGCAAAGTTTATGATAGCTTCATCTACAACCCCTTCCAAGTTTCAAAATCAATCAGTAACATATGCAATCTTCATATGCAATACATGGCTAACAGCTACGAGGAATAAACATGGCTTGAAAGTGCATCAATCATCAAATAAAAGCAGAATATAAAACCATCAAACCAATGCAAGAGTTTTTTCCACACTATGGTGATAGCGGGTGGAGTGGGAGTAAACAAACACACCATCAAATGGGGCAGCAAAACGAAGGGTGGTGCATAACCAATTCAAACGTACATATTTTCCAATGCCGACAAAATATTTCGGCGCCCGAAAGTATGCAATCATATATTGAAATTTTGAGCGTTCTCTGCGTGTGTTTGCGTGTGTGTTTCTCTCTCCCTCTCTGTGCGAATGTGCATGTCTGAGAGTACATATATCTATATGTGTTAGTGACTGCAATTAACTAACAGACAAGCCGTTAGGCAAAGCAATTTTGATGAGACACAGTTTGCGGATATGTGTAGGAAAATGCAGATGGAGAGAGAGGCAAGTCAGGCTTTACAGAATATTCTGACCACTTGATTAATATGCCAACTGTAATTATG